AAAAAAAAAAAAGAAATATGATTGGGTGTCATGGCTCGCACTTGTAATCCCAGCATTTTGGGAGGCTGAGGTGGGAGAATTGCCTGAAGCCAGTAGTTTGAGACTAGCTTGGGCAAAAAAGGGAGGCCCTGTCTCTATAAAAATTTGCTGGGCATGGTGGTGTGTAACTGTGGTCCTAGCTATTGAGGAGGGCAAGGTAGGAGGATCACTTGAACCCAGGAGTTTGAGGCTGCAGTGAGTTATGATTGCATCACTCCATTCCCGCCTGGGTAACAGAGCCAGACCCTGTCTTAAAAAAGAAACAAAAAATGATGAAATATGTAATTTTTTTTTTAACTGATCATTGAGAAGAGACTCCATGGCTGTGGAGCCTGAGGGTACATGACTCTTAACTGTAGAATATGGGAGTATCTCTGTATGACACTGTGAAGTGTCATGTAAGTTCAGTTTGGAAGAAAAAGAGATATCCACTTGTTTCCTTAATCTCTTGTCTCATTAAAATAGATACAGAATTTGGGTTGGCTGTTAGATTAGCTTACTGAGAAATTAGACAATTTGTAAAGGATGTCAGAATTCTCAAGAGATAGATGGGGAGATATATGAAAGAAAATGAGAAAGGGAGCCTATGATAATGATCTAGTAGTGGTTTTATGGTAACTGAGCTTTATTTGGTGCTTTTTTTAGTCATGAGAACTGTGTGCTTGGCAGTTTGGCTTACACTTTATTTCTTAAAAATGTAAATATTTGGAGTCCTCTTAACTGCTTCTTTACACATTTCACTCTCAGTTTTGTTGTTTTGCTTCTTAACAGGAATTTGTAATCAGCATATATTGCATTTCTTTTATAGTTTTATGACCTTTGTGAACTGTTCAGAACTGGAGGTCAGGTTCCTGACACAAACTACATATTTATGGTATGTAAACACCACTGATATCAAGTGCTTGTTTAACATGGAAAGGATCTGACTTATTAAATGTAAATTGCATAATAATTTTTTGCCATGTGACAGTCCCCATTTCAGTATATGAAAAGGTGTGTTGGCCGGGCGCGGTGGCTCAAGCCTGTAATCCCAGCACTTTGGGAGGCCGAGACGGGCGGATCACGAGGTCAGGAGATCGAGACCATC